CCACCCAACGAGTACTACTACGGCACGCGTACAAATACATGCAAGAAAACCCCTCGTTCCCCTTTAATCAGCTAACCATTCCTTAGAACTCGTAAGTGTCCTTGAAAGTAATTTTCTTCGTTTTTGTCATCAATAAATGTCCTTCAATGCGAAATTCTTAATATTTAATGAGATTTAATAAATTTTCAAACACGCAATGCAAATTTTTTAAGAATTATTACGTTTTCCACGCTATTTCTAGATTTTTTCGCGACGACCCCCTTAACCCACCCGCATGAAAAAAGAACTTTTCGTTCCTATGCCCTGAGATTTTTCACAGGTTCTTTCCACAGCGAATTGGCACGTTTTAATCAAATTTACCAATAAACTTTCAATCACTATAGCTTCGGAACATATTTTACTCCATAAATATGAATTTTTTATTAACTTTAAACACTCACCTTTGCCATCACAAGATTTTTTCACTATTAATGGAATGGCGCAGGCTGCAAAGTAAAACTGTGTGCAGTGTGAAAAAATTTCACAAGCATTTTGCGCCGGTTCAGTAGTGGGCATTAATATTTGTCATTGGGCATTATTGATTGGCAGCTGTCAGAATTTGACGTTGCCATATAAGAATGCAATCCACGAGGCCAGTGAGCTGATGACCATTGTAATGAGATATATTCGAAAAATGATCAATTAAACCATTAATATAAGAAAATGTTTTTATACTACGATTACCGAAAATGAATTTAGGTAGTTAAGTTTAATTTAAACAGGTAGATTATAAAAAAATATATTCTAAGAGCTGCCACTGTTCAGACTGTAATCAGGAAATGTTGCGATCAAATAAGTGCGACTAAACGGCAACACATTTAAAGAACAGTTAGGGGCTCAGTATATCCAGTAAAAAAACTGTGGTGAAGTCCTTTATGGGGATAAAGTTTCCAGAGGTGAAATTTTAGGTAGCACACAATTTCTTACACGCATGGTTGCTTTTCAGCACTCATGAAAGAAACTTAAGAAATATTTGAAAAAAAAGTTCATATAGTACATTAATTTTGAAAGAAATACCATATAATGTATGTACTCTGGTTAATAATATCAAAAAATGTATTAGAACCACCGTTTAATGTTATATTTGATACAAATTAATATTACTGCCCCGAACGCTCTGCGCCTTGCCACTGAATAATAGATTTACTTAAAATTACATCCCTGGTCCTTGTTCTTTCTGTATCGCATCATGGTGAATTCATATTTCTCAGAAATTTGACAACAAAACAGAACAAAGCAGGTATTTTATTTGCTAATTTTTGCGATTTCTATTGTTTAATGTAAATTTGTCTTTTTAGGATATGTCGAGCCAACAAAGAAAGCGCAGTTGGAAAATTTAGTAATTAGTAATGAAGTAGCTGGCATATTTGGAAAATTATGCCGATAAACAGGATGGAATTTGGGAAAGTAAGTGCATGGTTGCAGCATATCTATGTATAAAAGTATTTAATTAAATTGTTTATAGAAATGTTATAAATCGAGTGGCTCATTTACGATGTGCTCCAAACATTTGGCGAACTTTTTTTCGCCTTTTCAACGTGCTAAGTAACAAGTTAAGATGACTGCCATCATGGGCCGGTAAGAAACCAAAAGCAAAGGGCAGACAACCTTCCAGGAAGCTGCCTCCTGTCCCCGAGCCGAAGCTGCAGTTCAGCAAGAGCAGGTCAGCAAATTGCTACCCTGATCAAACGTAAACTAAAGCGTTCTGCTGTGATTGCACTCCGTAAATGTGAAAACTTGGTGCATGCTGAGAAATATCAAACAAGAAAACTCCGTGATGGACGCCGTGAGATGGAGTAACGCTGTGTGGCAAAGAAATGCGGCCAATTCGACGGGCCTGAAAAATCCAAATTGGCTTTTGTGATCCGCATCCGCGGTATCAACAAAGTTGCACAAAAAGTGCGTAGTTTTACAGTTCTGTCTTCGCCGCATTAAAACGGTGTGTTCATCAAATTGAGCAAGGCAACCATTAATATGCTACGTATGCCGAACCCCTATATGGGGTTATCCAAATCTTAAATCAGTTTGTGAATTGATGTACAAACGTGGAATGGTCAAGCGTGTCCCAATCTCTGCTTTGTGATCGAACGCAAATTTCGCGAAGCGCGTTGATTCACTTCACTACAAGAAAGCCCCCAACTTCCTGTTGCTATTCAAGCTCAACACATCAACCCGAGGCTGGTGCAAGAAGGCTAATCACTACGTTGAGGTTGGTGATTTCGGTAGCCGTGAGGATAAGATCAACAAATTGCTGCACAAGATGGCTTAAAGAAATTGTTGTTTTGTATTTAAGGCGACAATATAATTTGGCACATCTTCAAAAGACGCTCAAGCAAAAAAAAAAAAAAGAAAATAAAAAATTCCTGAAGTTGCCTTTTCACGGGTCGATTTCTGTCGACTGGAAAATATACTTAAGATATCGACTAGCTAAAACGCTTACATTTTACGGTTGAATTGCAGTTTACACGGGTAGATTTTGATTAAACGACAAAAATCGACCGTGTAAAGGCAGCTTAAATAACGTTCAAATTAATCACCCCCTTTGAGATGGAAAATACCAATAACCATTTCATAATTTCGAAAATTATTCCATTTATATTTGTTCTTGCATTTTCCACACCACTTGTGAGGTATGCTTTTACGCGCGTCACCGATTTTTTTAATGTGGCCTATTTTCACCTTTACAACTTAACTTAAACAATTAAAACTAAAGCATGCAATATATAAATTCAGAATTGAAAAAATAACGAGCAAATGGGGTCGGAAACTACTAGCCCTAAAAGCACAATGTGGAAAATGTTTGAAGAGCTGCGAAATTGTATTGCAATAATAAAAATAACAGTGCATAAATTGGAAAAAATGGTTTTTGTTTTGCTTTATAATTTTTGGGAATATTGGTTCAGATGGGATTTTTTCGTTTGGTTTTTCAGCTCGTTAATGATGCACCCAGGGTTGCATTTACGGTCTATGAAAATATTTCGTGAGGCGTTCCAAAATTAGCTCCGAGCACCTAAAAGTTGGTTAAGCTTAAATGAAATAGTTTTTTATTAAATATTTATTCCTGGTATTTAGTAAAAAACATCTATACTAATGTATGAAAAACAAAACATCAATGCTAATGTATGAAATGAAGTAAATAAAAATCTACGAATACATTCCATGAATATTTTGTCATAGAGCCATTATTAAATTTAGACATAACTTTGTCAGGCGTTGGTACCTACGTATATAGAATTAATGCGTTGGAGAGAGATAAATATACAAGTTCAACGCGCTAATTTAGGTACCCTTGTATGTATATACCTGTTTCTCGTCTGGCATATACTCCAACTGCGAAAATAATGACAATTATAATTTATGTAGATCCCTGGATAAAAGATTGTCACAAGTTACTTTCGGTAACTCACGATTGAAGTTTGGAATGCAATTTCTCAGAAACACGACTACAGATTTTCTCCAAAGTGTCGGAGAATGCTATGTACTAGTTCATGAAATTCTTAAATTATCTTATTTTTTTTAGTTTAGTGTCAACCATTTATGAGTTTAATAAAATTTTGTCGTATACGACATTTGTCAAAAAATTTGCAGTCAGTTTTAGTGATATACACCAAAATGTGATAACAATTTTTATAAATTAACCATACTTTTTACTAATCAGCCTAATCGTGAGTTTCGCCCGAACAAAATTTCGCCAACAATTTTTTCATCCACCTGTAGTGAACACACGCAAACGAAAAGTGACCCGGTTCTAGAAAATGAAACTCATGATAAAGCTGAATATGTCGGAAACTAAAGAAGAACAGATAACTCTATTTAAAAGATCTTGATTAGTTTAGTACGACAGCAATACTAACGCAATTTGTACCAAATAACCGAAAAAATTTTAGTCAATTAGTCAGAAACTAAAGAAGATATCCAAAAACCACAAATTGTCAAAATGACGCTTCCGGCAATTTTCCATCGAGGGGACGATATTTGAATAGCTTTGTATAGTTACCAATAGTCAGTACTAATTTGTACTGGAACCTGCAAACTTTTACTGGAAAAGTGTATGATAACCCAAAAATTTGCAAGAGAGCACTGAATCGAGAGCGTAACAACACGAGAGAGCTGCAAATTCTTGCTAGTGAAATTTTTACTAGCAGAAATTAGCTAGCAGAAGAAGAAGAAGAATAAATGTCAAAAGAATATATAAAAAGTGGTGTTACTAGCTCAGTTGATTTTGTGTATGTGTTTCTCCGCACGGCTTCTGATATCAAATTGAAAAATTTTGTTTGAATTTCTACTCACACTTACAGGTTTTGACAGTTTATGCCGCCAAAGCAAAAACAAAATACACGTAAATTTTTGTTTTTGTACTCCTGCAATCACCTTATATTGATTCGCCTTGGCACAAACAAAAGTAAAGTGAGTGGAAACAAAAATATTAATGATGTACTGGACAGTGTTAGTGCTTGTGTGTAAAGCAAAGAGTTTAAAACTGATTTATAAATAGTAAAATGTTTACAGCAGATTGTCAAAGCAGTGCAACAACTGTTCACTTGCAAGTTATTGCTAGTTTTGTGTTCAATAAGTTCTTCTGCTAGTTTTCTCTTCTTCTCAATTTAACGCTCTATTTTGCTTTTACGCTCTCGCTGCAATGTTACTGTTACTATACAAACCTAATGTTACTCGCATATTTTCGAGCCTGTATGTACATTTTCGGGAAAAAGGTTAAAAAGTGTATACATCTGCTGAAAAGATATTTTCGCAGATTCACAATTTATTTAAAATAAATCTATTAGCCCAATCTCCAATTCCATGTGAATAAATCTCCCCAGTGCTTAAATAATTTTCACCACATTAAATAGCTGCACAACACCCTAATTGCCGAAAAAGCGTTGCTTGCAACACTAGTCCTTTATGGGGACCAAACTTGGCGAAAAAAAAAATAGCTAAGTTTGTTTACTGGATATACTGAGGTTAGGGGCATTAATCATTGAGCGCAAAAAGCAGGAGAAGAGGAATTAGCAAATTGAAAACAAAATGGATAGTTTATTGTTTTACCAATGCGAATAAGGAAAACATCTGAAAATTAGACAAAAGAATATCTATTTAGCATCATGGCTCAAGCGAACTCCATGAAACAAATGGGTTCCCGTGTGGTGGGTGGCGCTGTTGAACGCATGGAATGGAGCAACAAAATGGATTTGATAGCTTATGGCACCGACAGAGGTGAGTCTGCAACTGGGGAAAAGTAGAGCTCGGCATATAACAAAACTAATTACAAGCTGTTCATTACAGGTGAAGTCATTATACAGCGCTTAAACTGGCAAAAGATAGTGACATTTCCATCACTGGGCGAGGACATTGCGGTACGCTCACTTGGCTGGCAATTAGATGAAACGGTTTTAGCTGCCGGTACACAAATACTACACCAAGCTGTTGCGATTTTAAACCTCTGAACATTTTAGGTTATAGTGATGGACGAGTGACGTTGTTGGATGCCGAGCGTGAAGATCAAATATCAATGCTGCATTTTGAGGAGGACATCAAACGAGTTTACTTTAGTAAAGCTATAAAAACCTCGGACTATCGCAGCACTTATCGTAATCGAACAGAGGTACAACTTAACAATTATTTTTTTTTGAACTAGCTCTTAATATGCTAATTCCAATGGCAGCACACTTTCGATTTCTTTCTACCACCTTTACCACCGCTAAGCGGCATAGGCTCCTTACCCAAATCACCAGAAGAGCAAAGGTCTTTTGCTAAGGGTTCCCCATGCTTCTTAGTAGTCATTACCCTAACTGGCAAAGTGCATTTGTTGCTGCTCGGTGCGCTGCGGTCCGGTCAAATAGACTTAAAGCAGCATGTTGTCCATCCACAAGAGTTCACAGTACATGATGTTCGCTTGAGTGGTAACTTTAATGCTATCTACGCCTTGGTGTCCGATGGAAACGAGCTCAAGGTATTGCATTTTCATAATAAAGTACTGCAGGAGTACATATCACCGATGCTACATTTGGCAGTGCACTGCGCCAACGTGCTGGAAACTAAAAAGTAAGTTAAAAATAATTTCTTGCACCTAAACGTTAAAGGCCCCGTCTGACATCTCCGTTGGAATACAAAAATGCCGTAACTAACTAAAATTGTGCTTTGCATAAAACAAGGTGGGGAGTTATAATTCCAACTGCCAAGAGAAAACCGGTCTGGATATTGCAGCCGTCTCAACAGCTACCTGTCCAGACTCCAATATCCCTAATGTGCACGACACCAACCACCTCTTCACGTGTTAGCTCAATCTCACTCAACTAGCAATCTTCTGTCCAAACAGCCCGTTTCTTGGGCCTTGACGACAACGATTGATGGACACACCGAAATAGGCGGGACTTAGTAATGCCGCTACAAAAACAACAATAAATCAAAAAGTTAATTTTGAATTTTTAGTCACGGCTTTTGGTATTTCAGTGAGAAGCTGAGATAGGGACCTTCTATATTCACATTTAATGGCTATTTTTTTTAAAGCTATATCAATGAAACCATTCAATGCATAATGGAAGCTTGGGAAACGGTGCTTTTGGAAATGGACAATAAATTAACAAAATATGCCCACCAGCAACCAGAAGGTTCGATTTCGGCTGATTTTTTGGAGCTTCTTGTATTTGGATATGCCACACATGAAATTGAGAATTTCCTTCGAGAGTAAGAATGCTAACTGCATATGAAAGAAAATATTTGCCAATCAATTTTATCTTTTATTTCGGTTAAGTGATTTAACTGAGAAAGGTCTTAAAAAATTAGCCAATTCAATAGATTTGAGTTATTCGACTGTAGAGAGTCTTGTGACTAAACAGCTACAGAGCAGCGGTGTAAACATGTTCTATTTTCTGAACTCGCTGAAAGGTTTGAGTCGCATTAGCTACTTCTTTGAGGTATAGTATACATATCCATATGCTGTATCTATGGTTATTTAATAAAACTCTTTCTTCACCGTACACTGGTAGCCGCTTCTTTCATGCGATGCTACACAAGCGGCACTTCGTGAATGTGGCTCATTCCTGATGAAAGTGCTGGAAATGCAGCAAGTCATTGATCAGTGTGTCAATGACATGAAACTGTTTTTCTCATGGCTCTGCATTGTAATTTTGCGTCTCCATCAGCATGATATACCCGAAGAAATGACGCAAATTACACCGGAAGATACTATTTATTTGGCAGAATATTTGAACAGTTTTGAGGACAGTGTTGTGGAGAATGGTAGGCAAACGCTATGGTGTTTTGTTAAAAAATGTTTCACTTAACTATTTCAATTACAGAGGACGGTACCGTAACAAAGCGCAAATTTAATTTGGAAAAAGTTGGTCAGTATTTGGAAAACCGCAATTTACAACAGATCGTCAAGTCGGATCCGCATCATTTGTGGCATCGTCTACTCGATGAAAATGAGTGTTTACGGAATTGCTCTTTACTCTTTCCACACGAAAAAGAAAGTTCGCTTATACAACAGCGCGACAAACTGCTGGAAGCAGTCGAGAATGTATTCAAGCGCCCCAATGAAAGTATTAGTGCTGGTTTTGTGCAGGATGCGAGCATCACTTGTGCGTTACTACCGACCACTTCGGAGAATGGCGTTACCATCCATAGTTCATTTTTCGTGAATGACGAAGCACATACAGATCTCTTGGTTACAACGATAAGCTATCACGAACTTTTGTTGATGGAATTCAATAAGAATTTTTCCCTGCTAAAGTGCACCCGGCTCGATTTACTATCTGGCCCATTTACAAGCGATATCCTGCGTGACAATGTATTTGATACGTTGAGATTTGTGGATTTAGGTTTTTACAATGAGAGTATATTGTCGCTCTTATTAAAAAGTAACGCGCAAAAGGATGATAAGCAAAGCTATTTCTTGCAACTTGCATTAGAAGCGACAAAAGGCAAGCAAACACAGCATATAATGCCAACCAATATTAACTTGATGGATGTGGCTTTTGCATGTCATGTGCCTGATCTAATGGAGAGTAACTGTTTGAAGCCACTTGAAGGCGAGTGCACACATTTGGCCGTATCGGGTAGTAGGAAGGTGAGAAAATCGTTTGTTCGAAATTTGATTTGCATACTATTTTAAGTGAACAAATATTTTCAGGTGGTTACTGTGCTCTCGGATCAATGCCGCAAGATGACCATTTTTGAAATGGAAATCGAAGATGATGAGGATGAGACTGAAATGTCGCAAAATTCGCTTTTAGAAATAAGTAAAGAATCTGTTACATCATCAAATGAATAAAACTAAATGGAATATGCGCGCCTATTTTCTATATGTATTTAAATTAGTAGTTTTTATTATTTTAGCTCTCCCATAATGGCATAATGATCGCTTCACACGAGCTTACGGCGACTTAAAGCGCCTGCTATCCAATATACATTTTATGTGTGAATAACTACATTTTAATTGATTTTCAATTAAAAAGAAGTGTGTAAGGGAAAACAACGCAATCTACATATGTATGTAAAAAAAATAAAAAAAATAGGTAATATTAGTTACCCCCGCCATTAGTTAATTTCGTACTGATAAGCATCATCTGAATCCTCGTCGCTTGACATATCACGTCTTCGCCGGCGTTCTTTTCGCTTATTGCGTTTTTTCCCAACCTTGTCTACAGACTCATCTTCAACGATATTATTTTCAGCTACGTTTGTTGACGTTGGCAGTTCCTCTTCGATAGTCTCCACCTGATCACAGTTTTCCTCTTGATTGTCGGTGGCGGCTTCCTGTTCACTTTTCTTTTGCGATTTGACTAATTCGCATAAATATTTGTAGCGCAATAAACACTCTTCCTTAGATTTTTCAGGCACACAGTTGGCAATTTTTTGCCAACGATCGCCGGTCGCATTCTTACGATTCTTAATAATAGCTGATTCCAGCGCACGTTGTTGTTCCTGAGACCAATTTGTCTCCGGCACCAGTATATTCTTATCAGCCGCCGCAGATTTCTTTACCTTTTCCTTTTTAGTCACTTCCTGTGTCGTGAATTCAGAGCTTTGTTCGGCACTTTGGCCCGGAAGACGGTATCCATTTTCCTTCATTTTCGCTGCCATGAAAGTAACTTCTTGCACTGAACGATTCATCGTTTCGGCGATGATATTCCAACGAGCACTGGAACCCCCAGGGTATTTCTTAACTAAGCGTATAAGTTCGGTGAGATCCTCATCAGTCCAGAAGCCGCCACTAAGCGCTGCCTATATGGGTGAAAAAGTGCTCGTTAGTTCATAAAAAAAACAAAACGCCATCAGTAGCTAAATTTCAATCATACTTTTTGTTGTACAGGTTTCACAGCATCATCTTCGGTCAATTCGCGTGCCTGTATCTGAGAATAGCCTCGTAATTCTTCATCAGTTTTTTCAGGGGCAGTGGTGTTTTGACGTCGTTTACGTAGATTCTCTTTCTTTTCTTTTCGCAAACGCGCCTGTTCTTCCAGTTCACGCTCGAGGTCCTCTTGGCGTTGGTCTTCTTCGAGTTCGCTACAAAAATGATTATAAAATAATGTAAATATGTACAAACAAACGTATGTAAATACATATAAATTTTGTTTGCTAACTTACAGTCTTCGTTTTTCCATTGCGATTTCCTTAAGCTCATTTGCTCTATTGAGTGCTTCTTTTATGGCGCTTGGTAAGTGCCAAATAAAAAGCGGAATTTGGAAAGGCAATGTATTCTGAAATGAAATATAATCTCTGTATTGATCCCCTTATTCATAAGTCCATAGCTTACCAGGATCGAAGGTGAGGGTATTTCTTTTAGAATGACATCCATATCAATACTTTTGTTCTTTTTCTGCAACTTTTTCAATTTGGAACCGAATACTTGCTCCTAAAGAAATTGATTGTTTTAATTAATCGTGGTTTTAACTGCTTTCACATTGGCCATTTCAACTTACCGCAGTGTATTTCTTCTCCAGATAAGCAGCCCAAGCAAATAAATATTGACCAATAGAAATTATGACAAAAATTATTCCTGCTCCTTCATACAAGCCAATCTTTCGCATACGCCTGTAATAATATAACGCAGACTTCCAGTTTGGCAAGCCTTCTCTCAGGACTTTATTGTACTTTTCACGTTTAGATGTTTCTCTTAAAACTTCGTATATGGATACCAAATTGCGAAATTGTATATTGGCATCTTCAGATGGATTCTTGTCTGGATGTAGGACAATAGAGAGGCCTCGAAACGCGCGTTTAATTTCATTGTTTGTCGCCTCCTGTGAAATGTTCATAAACTCGTAAAAGTTCTGATTGATTTCTTCAACCAAGTCGAATATTTCCAATTCTTCAGAATCCCATGCTAGGGTGCCCAAACAGAAACCGCACAGCAGCAATATATAAACGTAAAATTTCATTCTACAATTTGCCAGAATAAAAAACCAAATAAATTAAATTCCGTATAGCCAAAAGTCCCGGCCGCCGTCTCGAAAAAGGCAACGTCAACAACAGCGAGCAAAACAAAAACAAAAATTTGACAATTGGTTCAAGCCCATGCACAGTGTGTCACATATGCTTGCGAAATTCGGTTTTCTCAAGCACAGGGTGAAATTTGAAGAGGTTATTAATTATGCTTGGTAAGTGCATTATGATAAATTTTATTTGTCATTCCGTTATTTCATTTTTCTGATAATGCATTTCCGAAAGTTTTTTCGGAGTTTGCAAGTTTTAAATTTTTAATTTTTTGAATTGGAATTTTTTAAGTACGCATTTTTATAGCCCATTAAATTTTAAAGGAAATGTTTAGTTATTAGCCCACCGTTTTGGGGGAGGGGACGGAGTGTGAGGCGCGTGGCCCCTTAAACCCACCCCCTTTCGAAAGGGGACATTCCCCACTTTACGAAAAGCCGCACCCACCCCATTCGAGACCACCCACAGACCCCTAGGGAACCGTTTGAAAATGGGGGAAAACGGCATCTACCGAGACAAAGTGAGCAGTTAGAAGTGGAATATAACCACACTAACAGAAACCGTGGTATTTTTAAATAAAAGAAATTATCCTAAGTAGGTTATGGCGATTTTGTATAAAACAAGTTACCTAAAAAAGTTATTAAACAAAATTTTCACTAAAAATATTGTTATATTAAAAAAACGCGAAATGTAAAAATGCTATACTAATAGTAATATGATAGTATTTTAGCGCAGAACTTCTTTCTGCGCAGGCGGCCTTCGGCCGCACTTAGGGATAATAATCCTCAGTAAGTAGAAGTCTCCTTTCTGTGTTGCCAAGGAGGGAAGGCTGAACACCTTTTGCAGAGAAAACCTTTATGCGTAGGCGGCCTTCAGTCTTCGAATACATATTTCCATGGAAAGGTTTTTATTTTTAATGCTTATTGGGTTATATCTTATTTTCTTTTGCCTCTAGTCCTTCTTGTATATTTTGGAGTTTGACAGCAGAACGCCGCCATTTAATTTGCATATGCAACCAAAGGCAGACGCGTTATTTTAAAGGTTCTTTTATTTAATAAATTGTGATTAATTCGTTAAAATTAAAGTAATTAAAAAAGTTATAACTAATCGAATAAAGTGTAAAGTGAAGGGAAATATAAAAATGTATTGGTGAAGTGGCTGCTTTAAGGAGAATCGGAGTGAAAAATGTACGGTAATTTCCGAATTTTACAAAAAAGCATATTTCAAACTGAATTTCTTAATAAATTAGTGGCCAAAAATTACAAAAGTATATGTTAACATAATGTGTAGACCCTTGACTACAATTGTGTGGAAACTTTTTCGGATCAGATCACCCCTTTGGACGCAATACCCCGAAATAGTTGGGCTACTTACTAAACAGTACCCAATTTTAATACACGTATGTATGACCTAGATTAAATAAATTTGGGGTCAAAAATACAAGTGCATTAAAAACGTAAACATCAATTTAATGCAAAAATTGATTTTAAATAAGTTGCATGTTGATTCAAGCGATCTAAATAAAAACGTTTAGGTTATAAAAGCAATAAAATTTGAATTTCAGCAATTGTGCAACTGAATAAAATAACGAATTCAATACATTTTTTCAACCTAATTTATATACACTCGCATAATTGTTCAATAGGTCTGGAAGTGAGTGCTTCCAATTCTTCAGGTTTGCAACGGTATACGCATTTGCCATTAATCCATGTCGACTTTACAAACAAGTCATCTGTCAAAATAACAAAATCGGCATCAGCGCCAAAATTTAACGTACCCTTCGTTTCCGCCATTTTTAAACAACTTGCCGGATGTAGTGTTGCGCATTCTAGCGCATATACAGTAGAGCAATCTGAAAAGAGGAAGTAAAATTATCGGTTGTGTCATAATACCAAAACTATTTTTTAAATATGAATGTATTTATGTACACATCTGCACTAACCGGTTGCCTTTTTGAAAATGCGTACGCATGTATCTAATGGTGCAATACTACCACACAAAGTGTTAGTGCCAGCAATGAACGCTTTGCCATCGCGTACTTCCATTTCCAACTGACCTAAGTGGTGTTTGCCCTCGCCCAGACCGAGTGCTGCAATTGCATCCGTAACCAGTATAAGACCATCGGGATGAGTGCGGTGGGCTATACGCAAAGCAGCCGGATGTGTGTGAATGCCGTCAGCAATTATGCCAAAGAAAATTTCCTGGGCAGGTGGAATGTTATTGGACGCCAGCAAGCCAACCAGACCAGGGTCCCGATGATGGAACTGTATAAAATTGTATGTCAAGCAAAAATTTACATGATTATTAGAAAAGAAGATATATTTGCTCACCGGTAACATGGCATTGAAAAGATGCGTAATCAACCGCGCACCATTTTGCACAGCAAGTTCACCTTGAGACAAGTTGGCAATGGAGTGTCCTAAGGCTACAGTGATACCCATGTTTGTCAGCGCTTTTGTGACAGCGCCCGTTGGATCTTTTTCCGGTGCAAGCGTGATAATTTTGGCATTGCTTAAGTTGCTGTAGGCCTCCACCAACGTGTCTATGCCCTGTAGCAAGGGAAATGTAAATTGAAATTGGTTCTAAGTAAAATTATATGTATACTCACATTATCAATATCTTTGATGCAGTTCTCCGGATGGGCTCCCTTCTTTTGTGGACTGATAAAAGGACCTTCTAAATGCAAGCCCAAAACTTGTGCGCCTGTTGTTGTGCCCGTTACTTGTGGTATAATTTTCCGATAAGTTTCCGGTGGCGACGTTACAATGGTGGGACAAAATGAAGTAACCCCATTTGTGATTAGCTCTTTTGCGACCTTCTCAATGCCTTCAGCGACTGTATCCACATCGTATGAGAAGTCAACGCCGTAACCGCCTGATTGAAAGGGATACAAAACAAAAAAAGGTCTAAAGCTGGTGCTAGAACTGGAACTTTGTTATTTTTTCTTTGCATAAAATGAGCAGCAGCGCTTTCGTATTCCTACAATTATTTGTGATTAAGTGAAGTACCAGCTGATAAGATAAAACCCTGATCCACTTACATATTTACCGATAATGGCAAAGCATTTAAAGCAGCAGTATGCTTTTACGCCTTGGGATTAAAACTGCGCGTATATAAAAACACATTTACATTTAGAAAAGTGTACGCATTACATACATCATGGCGGAGGTCATTGTCCCACAATCTGTTTGTTTACCTACCATTAATCTGGAGTTCAATGTAGCCGGGAGCTATAATGGAATTTCCACAATCGATTTGTTGATGTGCCTAATAATCAATAAAATATAATAAAATTAATTGGTAATTGTAAGTCAAGCAACGTGACCCACCCGCTGCTTCTCATCGAAGAATACTGGCTCTGGATTAATGATTTTGCCATTGCGCACCCAAAGATCTTCTTGTATCAGCTTATGATTACGTACCAAACGACAATTCACAAATTGCAATAATTCACCTTGAGACATTTGCGATATTTCCGAATTTCTACCCTAAGCACGGCCGTAAAATGAACTAAATGCACTCAAATGAAAAATAAACAAAAAAAAACACCGCGTAATGTACAACACAACGACTACTCTACCCCACACACAACCTCCACACGCATACTATTTCTGTAGAAGTTGAGTCCAAATTGTTATGGCATTAAAAGCTCAGTTAGCGAAAAACATCGATGCATCGACAATATCGATGTTTTGCTTCGATGCATCGAAAATTTTCCACTGGATGTTTAAATAGTCAATGCATCCAAACATCGATGTTTTCTGTAAACTGACATCTTAAGTACATCGTACGGCCGAATATCGCTTTGTCTGAAGTTCATAGGGAGGAAGATGCAGTTTTATAGCTCATAAAATGTTAGTTTAATAAAGTGCAAGTTTCAATTGCTTTGATTTTTAATATTTTCTCTTTGCCTGACTTGCAGTTTGTTATACTAAAATTTTATGAGCTATAAAACTGCATACCAGAAAAGGTTCCATAGTGCAGGAAAACTCCCTCGATGCATCGATGTATCGACAAATATCGATGTAAGTTACGATGCATTGATGCGAAAAAAAACATCGATGTATTTTTGCCACTGACATCCCTAAGCCGAGCGCCAATGGATCGCCCGCAGAACTTCTGCGAACAAATCAGCTGTTTGTTATCACCTAGGAATGGGCAAAAGTGAATGTACACAACATGCGGTCGCCGGCAAATGCGTCACGCCGTTTGTGTCAAATAAAAGTGAATACGTGTATTTGTATGACAGCTGTTACAGACGACGCCTTTACGAATGCGGTAACGCAGTTGCCGTCGAAAGTAAACCAACTCGCTACTTTTCTGTTGCGTTCATGCGTTGACATTTGAAATTACATTTGTGGATATGCTTAGCAGCTGTTTTTTGTATACAAAATAGTGAGTGGCGCAACGCAATGTGTGTAACACCAAATTTTTCAACGTCGTCAATGCACAAACGGATCAACGCAACGTCGCAGTAAATAAAACTATCTACCTTCAGCTTAACCCAGTGCGGCGCTGCGCCGTTGCGATTAATGAAACACAAAAATATGATACAATTAAATCGCAAATTGGACAAATTTAACTTAATCCAATGATTAATCGCTGCCAATCCTACCTAAGAGTTACGGGCGCTGATACCAATTTTCACAACTCTGTAACTCAATGGCGTCAGCAACACCGGAACACTGACAACACCGGGTGTCGCAAAGAGCCAGCATAGAACGCAAGAGAAATGTCACTTGTAAAATGTGCAGCACAAGGTGAATTAATACAAGGTGGCAAGGCCGCGGTACTTCCTAATGTCAAAATGATGTGTTTGTTGTAAACAAGGCGAATTCATATTACAACAAACACATCATTTTGACATTAAGAAGTACAGCGGCGAAAATCTAAATTCGCCAGTAACACCACCTTGTATAAATTCGCCTTGCAAGGTGGTGTTGCTAGAATTCGCCGCGCTCCTTCTGAATATCAAAAGGATGTGTTTGTTGTAGTTTTGGGTACTTCTTGCATATAATATGTTGTAATGTTTTTTTTTGCTCAACCGATACCACCTTGTATAAACACATCTTTGTGCAGCAATAAGCAAAATTAATGTCCTTTAGCCAGAAGAGGCGCAATTGCGCCAACACACTAATCCGATTCCGGCAGTGGCTCTGGAGTTAGTGTGTCAGCGCCAACATAATGGATTTTTAAATAAAATTTTTGTAAATTTTTTAATGAATTTTTTGTATAATACTGGAATAACAACGTTAAACCTCGTTTCATCTCCATTTCCAAGACATCACTGAAATTAATTTGTTTCTACTATGATACAATGACTTTTAGAAAGTAGTTTCACTTCTTTTTATCTGCGATGTTAGCTATCTGACAGAAATCGTGTTTTGTATTTAATGTGGTACCAATTAAAAAAATCCAGCTTTACGTTGGAAAAATAATAAACATAGATAACAGTAGAGAGTATCAAAAATTATTTAATAATTTTCTTCATAAAAACCATAAAAAATTAACTGTTGCTTCCTTGGATGTTACAACACGGGAATAGCTGTAAGGATATGGCTATTTCAGGTGATGATGGCTTTGAGAGCACACGACTTCTCAAATCGTCGAATGAGAGGCATTGACCCTTTGGAGGCTAGCATCCCTCTTAGACAAGAGGTCTCCCCAGGGTAAACCCTGTTCACTCTTTTACTGCTAATTCGAACGGCGTCACAGCCCAATTCCCAAGTTGCCATAAACAACTATCTCACCGATAATCGTAGGGCCGGATCAAGGTGCCAGGGAAATGTGCAAAGGCTAGAAGTCCTTCATAAAGGCCATTAGCGAACCGGCGGTCTCCGATGTTTTTCTCGCCTTGACTGGGTGCAGCGGATCTCTGCCAGAAGGGACGACCCATTTACGGTCTGGATATTGCAGCCGGTACAACAACTACCTCTCCAGACTTGACCACAATATCCATAAGAAGTGGGCGGCATGTGGAGACTCCCCGCATTACCCCAGCCATCTCTCCACATGCCAGCACAATCTCACTTAATTAACACCCCTCCAAACAGCCCGTTTCCTGGGCCTACCGTTAGTGGAGCTGGACGACAACGATTGGTGTACACACCGAAATAGGAGGGGCTTAGTAGTGCCGCTACAAAAACAATAACAACCCTGTTCTTTCCCCGCCACTCGTCGATTGATGGGTGGACACCAATAAACGAACTTCAACTATCCTAACCGGGAGTCTGACACTCTTAAAAGAAGGTTTACAGGAGCTTCACCCGTACTAGAGCTACAGAACCACCAAGCTCCCCTACGGCAATACAACAAAAGTAAACAAAATATGCAACAGTATCCCTTGGTACAGGAAATCGAAGACTTAACCCCACTGTCAGAAGTGGAACATGCCGGGAGGTATACCGATGGATCGAATATGGACACCGGGAATGCTGGGGCAGGCAGAAAAGTCTGCCAATGGGCACATATTTACCCAACCATATTTCAGGCGAAAGTCTTCGCAATCGAAGATTGTGTTCGCGAATGTCTGCACGTAGAAGGACAAATGAGGGCAGAATAAGTATTATGTCGGATTGTCCGGCAGCGTTAAAGGCCTTAGACTCTTTTAAAAGGGCATCAAGGCCATGCATACATACAACAGGGAGTCGGCAACGTCGATAACTATGTTTAACCGGAGATTAGTGTTAACCAGACATTGAGTAACCGGCCCTTAGCGACTTTTCTTTGGACCACCGGACAGTTACCAATTTAATGGGAAGTTAACGATAGTAGGTTTGGTAGGTTTTGATAGGAAATAATGGTAGGCGAAAAAATTTGTCCGTGGCAACACTGGTATGTATATACATTTAATAAGAATAAAAATACAACCATAATAACTCAAACGGATGAACAGAATGAAAATTCAGACAAAAAAATTATTAAATAAATGGTTTACAGTTTATCCGCGTAATTTACGAACGCCACACTCTTTTCCGGCGATTCGGTGTAAACGCCTTTTCAACTAATAAACATAACCGCAATTAAAACATTACATAAAAAGTTAATATTATCATGAGATCATAAAAACGATATTACTTTAACGGTTTCACAGACACTTAACGTAATTCTTTGGGCATACTTAAAAAAAAACACAACACACAATCGAGGGAACGCCGAAGAGGCAATAGTTTTTGGGGTGGCTGTTAGCCAATTTCGCACCATAATAAATATGGGCGGTAGAGACTGTGTTCTTCCCTCCCCTTCACTTCACTTCACTTGTGTTGGCTGTTATTTTTACTGTCTATACAGCTTGTTTGTCTATTTGTCGAAATTGTTATAAAAAGTTGTTGGTGCTACTGTAGGTTGGTAAAATGTTATTGCCTGTGTTTATTTAAATGAATCTACTTACATACAAACCACCACCCAACAACCGCTCGCTCACTTGGAAGCTATGAAATGCGTTCTAACGGCGTTGTACAAGTCCACAAACGACGTTTCCTGCATATTTTAATGAATTTGTTCATTCGTTCACTCGGTCGTTCGCTCGTTTGTTCGCATACATTTAACATTTTAATGAAATTTCTTAATTATACTTGATTAACATGGAAGAGATAATCTTGTACCGCGGGTAGGTAAGCAAGTTAAAGAAGTAAAAGAAAAAAGTTGGAAAAGAGGAAAAGTAAGTGCAGCGCTTACGTAAAAGCGATGCATACGAAACGCATTACATATAGAAGTTCCAACGCACAAACTAATGCATACATACATATATACATATGTACGCTGCAAAAAATTGTGCTACTAATCTCTAAAGGGAGTATTCCGAGATTAGTCTCAATCGGCTACAATTGGGCATTAATTAGTCGCAACTAGTCTCACACGGATATTATTGGAGATCAATTAGTCCCCGTCTGATCTCTAATGGATACTATTAACGATTTAATGAAATGTACGCACTTAGTTAGCGAAATTTTATATGCGGTGTTGGTACACAATGAGAGTATTCGCTTAACAAAACTGAGTGGTATTAGTCGCATGTTCCTTTGATATTGCTTCCGTAGGCATCCCGGATTAGTCGCATTTCTTGCAGGGTATGCATGCCAGCGAATACACCGACGAGTGGCTGGAGACTTCCTTGAGTGACAGCGCGCTATTGCCGCCGGTAATTAAGTGCGTTGAGCGTTGTTTTTGTGTGTGTGTGTTGTAGCGCCGAAAATTGATAGCGCGGTAGACGAGCCGCATGCAGTATGCACCAGCGGGATTATCCCTAACGTCGCGTCGTCAAGCTGCTGTACATATCTATGTATACTATATATTCATCGTTACTCCCAATGGTGGCGGCGTGCGTGCGCATTTTAAACGTGACTAAAATGTCAAGGCTTTCATTAGATACGCCTTGCCCATTGCTTTGTGCAGTGTTGCCGTTGAGAATTTTCAGAAAGTCGCAGAAAAGGGATCATTATTTTTAACCGACTTCAAAAAAAGGAGGAGGTTATCAATTCGTCGGAATATATATATTTTTTTATGTATGTTACCGCAAAGTAACAACATATGCCGATTTCTGTAATTTTTTTTAAGGAAAGGTGGTCCCATACTAATTTGGTTTAGATCCGAT